GATTCTCTTGCCTCAGCCTCCCAGGTAGCTGGGACTACAGGCATGCACCATCATGCACGGCTAATTTTTGTATTTTTTTAGTGGAGACATGTTGGCCAACATTTCTTTTCTTTTCTTTTTTTTTGAAATGGAGATTCACTCTGTAGCCCAGGCTGGAGTACAGTGGTGTGATCTTGGCTCACTACAACCTCTGCCTCCCGAGCTCAAGTGATTCTCATGCCTCAGCCTTCCAAGTAGCTGGGACCACAGGTGTGTGTCACCACGCGCAGCTTATTTTTTGTATTTTAGTAGAGACGGGTTTCACCATGTTGCCCAGGGTGGTCTCTGCCCATCTGCCAAAGTGCTGGGATTACAGGTGTGAGCCACCACACCCAGCCCAACATTTCTTTTTTAATTTAACTATTAGGACATTTTAAATTACATACGCAATTTGCGTTATATTTTCTGTTGGATAGCACCATTCTAGACCATTGGCTCTCAAAATACTGCTGATGAGTTAGAATCACCTGGCAAATGTTTAAGATTATCGGACCCCACCTCAGATGTTTTCAAGTTAGACTCTCTGAAAATAGGGACCTGCCTCTGCGTTTTAATAAAGCTTCCCAGATGATTCTGTTGTCTCACATGGCCATTGAGAACCAACCAAGTCCTACCCCTCTTTTTATACAGAAGGAAACTGAGTTCTAAATAGCAAAGCAACGGTAAATATAGTCTTTTTTTCAGGATGCTGTCATAGTTTTCCCAGGTTAAAATTCAAACTCTAGCTCTTTCATAAGTGATGGCCATTTTTCCATTGTCTGAAACAGTGATTCTTGACTAAAGGTGGAATTGTGGCTGGCTTTATTTAGTCATTTCAGCTTTATAAAAACTGGTCATTTGGTGCTTTCCTAGGATATTGTGCCATTATAGTGCCTATATTTAGTGAGTTGTCGAAAATGTCTTTTTATTTGTTGAGGCTTATTAAAGGTGCATTGTGAGAATGAAATAATCATTATGATTTTAAACTTAATTACAGCAAAGTCCTGAATTGTCACCATGATTAGTATAGAATTTTCATCAGTGGCAGAAATAAAACTGACTTTTTCCTACAGAATCTTAAGAGGCTTTACAAACTCTTCGTTGAGTTGTGAGTGTCTGGGGATAATTTATCCCAGGTTTTCCTTGAGGTTTCTTTCTTCACATATTTCAAGATGGCTAGAGCAATTAGCAGTTAGTTTTGGTAGACGTTAGCCCATGCTCCGAGGTTTATTTTTGATTCGCCTTAGAGTGGAATATGTTTCAGCAGGCACCTTTACTATTCAGCATTCCTTATTTGTTCAGAACTGTTGGGTAACGGACAAGCATGCAAATGTAAACATGTAGTCATGTGTAATACCCATCCATTTAATTCAAATCAGAGAGCTCATGATAGCCGAGGATTTATGAAATTTTTCAAGTGGAAGCATCAAGGGATGCTTTAGTCTAATGCCCTTCTATATCCTGGAAAGTGAAGGGAAAAGGTCTCACCCAAAAAAGTTGAATTCTGTCCTAGTGCTTTTGACTCCATTTTGGTGACTGAGGAAGTTGTGTTACTCTCTCCATGCTTTGGTTTCCTCAGCTGTAAAGTAGAGTGCTTGAAGAACACCGTGATTTTGGGATTGATTTTCCTTCTTTAGTGTGTCTGTTTTCTTATTAACCTCCCTCTTTTTCTCTTGAAGGGTCAGATGACTTGTCTGCAAAGCTGTGGGATGTGAGCACAGGGCAGTGCGTTTATGGCATCCAGACCCACACTTGTGCAGCGGTGAAGTTTGATGAACAGAAGCTTGTGACAGGCTCCTTTGACAACACTGTGGCTTGCTGGGAATGGAGTTCCGGAGCCAGGACCCAGCACTTTCGGGGGCACACGGGGGCGGGTGGGTTGCCCTTTTTCAAGGGTTTTTACAGTTACTAGCCTCATCCTTTTAAGCCACGAGCCAAGAATGCGAAATACTTTTTTATTTTTAATTTAACTTGCTTTTTTCAACCCTCTTTCTTAGTCACTGCAGTTATTTCCTTTAATCTAGTTACTCTTATTTAGAATATTTTACCCAGTTTTGCTTTTTCTTGCTTTCTCCTATGTACCCTTCTTGTGGGATGGATAGTTCTCATTCTCTCTCTCTTTCTCTCTCTCTCATTCTCTCTCTCCCCACTCCTGTTTCATTTATATCCTATTGAACAGTCAGTTCCTTTGCCTTTATCAGATTCCATACCTCTAACTTAAGTAAATCCTACTTGGGTAAATTCCACTTTATTTGTAACATTAGGGCTGAAAATTATTTGGTGTGATGGTGGTTCCTAGATTGTGTGGTCTACACAGATTACATCCAGTTGGAGCTTGGTTGACAGTTGATTAAAACAAGCTACCACCTAGAGATAAGGTGAAGGGAACATACCTGAATGTTTCCTAATAAATGTATAGCAGCCTTATTTTTGCAAAAACTGGTCATTTGAATATAACCTTGAGATTTGAGCTTCTCTCTGTGTTGCTTTTTTTTTTTTTTTTTTTGGAGCTTTGTTTAGAAATTGAGCTATTTCCCAGCCTCTTATGCAGAAGCTCCCTTCTTCGTTTCCGCCGTTTACCCACTGTTTTAGCCTCTGAGATTCATAGTCTATAATATCAAACGTTACATTTATGAGCAGCCTTTCAGGACTCCCTTAACAGGTTGGGTCCCTCTGTTTCCCAGTAACTTGTATTGCTGTAGACCACTCATGATATAAATATGATAAATAATCTTGCTTCCCCACCAGACTAAACTCCATAAGGACAGTGATCCTACCTGTCTTGTTCACCCATGTGACTTGAGTTCCTTGCACCATATCTGGTGCTTAGTGGTTCTTTGAAGTAAAACTAGCCATTATGCTAATAAAAACGCATATTTTTTGCTTCATTTTTTTTGTCCTATATACTCTTCTTCAGTCTTTGCTGCCTGCTACCACTTGTTTGTTGAGAAATTAATGTTTGAGAAATAATATTTGAAGGTGCATGTATGTATGGAAGTGTATGTTAAACTTAATGTTATATTCCGCAATGTTAATGACTTCCAGGTGATTTTATTCCTGATCAACTTTGAGAACCTTGCTCTAATACATTTTCTTAGTGTTGCCTAGACATTGCTGAGGTTTTTCTTAACTTTATGCCTTTACTATTCCTTCTGCCTGCAATATTCTTTTTTCTTTCCTTGATAAACTCTACTCATCCTTCAGGGCCCATCTCCAATATCGCCTCTTCCCTGAAGTCCTCCCTGATACCCCTGGGCAGAGTTAGTCATTCTCCTTGATGTTTCCCTAGCAAGAGGTAAACATTTATTTTTTCTGGGCTTCCTCCTCCATCCCCTACTTATACTGAGTTTCTTAAAGGAAGAATCAGTGTCTTCATCTCTGGGTCCCTAATGTTCCTTTAGAATTTGGCATACGTTTGAAAATAAATAATTGAGGACTCACTATACTGCACACACTGTTTTTGGCACTGGGGATATAGCTATGAAGAAATTCAGACACTGTTTTGAGTGAATGGCTTAATCTGACCTTTGAGATCCTTGTTTTTGTTTTATTTTTTCTGTCTTTACATTGGCTTTTCTTGAGTCTGGGTGCTGTTTTGCAGCTTCCATTCTTTACATTTGTCTTACTCTTATTGTGTATCAGAGTAGGACCATGTATGTTCTGTTTTTCTGCATAAATTAGATAAAGTATAGTGCAGCATCAGGCAGGCAGTCCTAAGAAGGAATGCCATTATCTCCAACACTTGTTTTGCGTCTCACTGTAGCTACCACATATAAAAGAGATTGTATTATTCCTGGGACTTTCCACCTTAGAATAATCTATAATAATAATTTTGAAATACTTTTATAAAATTGCTAGTTGAATAGCACCATTACAGTGTTTCTGGTTGGGAAATTATATAGTTGGGCAGTGGGGAAAATAAACATTATTGAACTCTAAAAGAGCTCGGTGACAGAGACATGTTTTAACTTTGTGTATATTATATGCACTAGTGTTTAGTGTGGACTACAATGATGAACTGGATATCTTGGTGAGTGGCTCTGCAGACTTCACTGTGAAAGTATGGGCTTTATCTGCTGGGACGTGCCTGAACACACTCACCGGGCACACAGAATGGGTCACCAAGGTAGGAAGACTTAGAAGAAATCTCCTTCTCGTCGGGCTTTTTGAGGGAGAGGGTGAAGAATATTAGACGCTGCCTTTTAAGTGTTAGATGAGTCATAAGATGGAATTGATGTAACCACAAAGCATGATGGTATACATCAGTGACCAGCAAGTAGAAGGCACTTCATAAATAGTTTAACAAATGCATGACTTATGGACATGGAAAGATGCCCACAATATAATTTAGGTGGATAAAGGGGGCAAATAAAACAGTTTACATAGGTTACATAATATGTAGAGTGTGATAATCGGTTTCTGGATGTGTTCATCAAAATGTTGAAGGTGGGTATTTCTCATGGGATTGTGGGTGCATTTTTACCTTTAGAATAAACATGTTTTTTAATCAGAAAAGCAATTTTCATTTTGAAAAAATAATGCTTACAAGAAGTAGGACAAAGAAAACTGCACAGGATCTTTAGCAAACTATTGTAACGTTTTCTAGTTTTTAAAACAAGATTGTTGTGAGGATCAAATGCAGTATTAATAATGCATATGCCATGCAGAAGCACTTTTCTTGAGTTTGCCATTCTATGAGGGGCTGAGGAAACAGGAGTAAGCAAAATAGACCCAAGCCCTACACCCTGTGGATGATAGTCTAATAGGAGAAATAGTTTTATTAAACAATTTCACGGGCAAATATATCATTTCAAATTGTGTTAAATTTTATGAAGGAACAGTACAGTGTTCTATAAGAAAGTCTAAGGCCAGGCACAGCGGCTCATGTCTGTAATCCCAGCACTTTGGGAGGCTGAGGCAGGTGGATCACCTGAGGCCGGGAGTCCAAGACCAGCCTGGCCAACATGGTGAAACCCTGTCTCTACTATAAGTATAAAAATTAGTCAGGCATGATGGCAGGTAACTGTAATCCCAGCTACCCTGGAGGCTGAGGCAGGAAAATTACTTGAAACCTGGGAGGCAGAGGTTGCAGTGAGCCAAGATTGCACTACTGCATTCCACGTGGGATTTTGTTTCAAAAAAAAAAAAAAAAAAAAAAGCAGTCTAGGAAAGTAGTTCAGAGAAAGCTTTTTGAGAAGGGGGTTAAACATGAAGAATAAATAGGAGATAGCTGTGGAAAGAAAGATTGTTTCAGAGGGTACAGTATATGCACAAGCCCAGGAGTGGGAAAGAACTTGGAACATTTGATGACCTGGACTTAAGCCAGTGGAGCCATGCTGGGGAGATGGGCAGAGAGGTGGTCATCCTGTATCATCTGTAAGGCCACAGTAAGTGTGGTGGTTATCATCAGAAGTATTCTAGAAAGCAATCCACAAGTTCTGAGCAAGTGTCTGGTGCAATGTGTGTTTTAAGAAAATTAACTGCTGAATGAAGAATGGACTAGAGTTGGGCACAATCAGATACAGGGTGACCATTTGGCTTTGGCAGTAAATAGTCTAAGAAAGGATACCCACCCATAACTTAGATTTGGCTGGCAATAATGAAAAGAGCACCCATAAAGGATATATCTTTAAGGTAAAGCCACCTGGCCTTGCAGATTCGTTGTGGGAAACTAAGAAGAAAGAATCAGAGGTGACTGGCGGGTTTTAGATTTGGTGGATGATTATATCTTTTTTTGAAATAGTTGGGGCTAAAGGGAGAGTAGTTTGTAAGACCATAATTATGTATTGGGCACATTATGTTTTTTTCTTTTTTTGTTGTTCATTTGTTGTTTTTATACAGACAGGGTCTCACTCTGTTGCCCAGGCTGGAGTGCAGTGGCATGATCATAGCTCTCTGCAACCTCGAATGCTGAGGTTTAAGTGATCCTCCCACCTCAGCCTCCTGAGTAGCTAGCACTACAGGCGTGTGCCACCACACCCAGCTAATTTTTTAAATTAAATTTTATTTTTTTGAGATGGCGTTTCATTCTTGTTCCCCAGGCTGGAGTATAATGGCACAATCTCGGCTCACTGCAATCTCCACCTCCCGGGTTCAAGTGATTCTCCTGCCTCAGCCTCCTGAGCAGCTGGGATTACAGGTGCCTGCCACCAGTCCCAGTTAATTTTTTGCGTTTTTAGTAGAGACGGGGTTTACCGTGTTGGCCAGGCTGGTCTTGAATTTCTGACCTCAGGTGATCCACCTGCCTCAGCCCCCCAAAATGCTGGGATTAGAGGCGTGAGCCACCGCACCTGGCTGCTAATTGAAAAAAAAAAAACTTAGGTTAACTTTTTACATAGAAAAGTTTTATAGTGTAAGGCAGTTTGGTGGTGTGGAAAACACAGTTGATTGGGGCTAGGACACAGATGGTGATGTCAGTCTATTCCAATTGAGTCTGCAATCCAGACTTCTGAACGAGTGAACCCTGCTTCCCTCTCACCTTATGCTGATTTATTACAAAAATAAATAAACATTAGTTAGAACCTAATGTTTACAGACTATCTCAAGTGCTAATGGAATGTTAGCTTTTACTATATATTACTACTATAAATTTACATTGTTATAGTTTCTTTACTGTAATTAAATGAGGGAAGGTAATAGGTGCTTGTCTCCTATTTTAAAAATCAGGAAACTGACAGAGTTTAATTGGTCTTGCCCAAGGTTGCAAAGTCAGCATATGGCAGATTCTGGTCCCAAGTCCAGTGCTTTCTCCTTTATGATGCACATGCTTCTGAAAGCATATCATCTGCATCTACTTCAGTGCCTGTGGGCTTTTTTATTTTCTGTTCCTTTTATTAAGTTACATTTTACAATTTTTTTTTGAGACAGAGTCTTGCTGTGTCACAGGCGCTAGGCTAGAGTGCAGTGGCGCAATCTCAGCTCACTGCAATCTCTGCCTCCTGGGTTCAAGCAATTCTCCTGCCTCATCCTCCCGAGTAGCTGGGACTACAGGCGCGTGCCACCACGCCCAGCTAATTTTGTATTTTTTAGTAGAGATGGGGTTTCACCATGTTGGCCAGGATAGTCTCAATCTCTTGACCTCATGATCTGCCCGCCTCAGCCTCCCAAAATGCTGGGATTACAGGCGTGAGCCACCATGCCTGGCCGGTTTTTAAAAATCAGTCCTAATGTTTGCTTCTAGACGACTGCTAAAATTAAATGCTGCCAACATTTAGACACCTTTTTTTTTAATAGTCTTGCTCTGTTGCCCAGGCTGGAGTACAGTGGCTCAATCATAGCTCACTGCATCCTCCAACTCCTGGGCTCAAGCAATCCTCCCACCTCAGCCTTATGAGTCACTAGGATTATTGGCATTGAGCCACCTTACTTGGCTAACATTAGACCCTTAGATACTACTACTAACAGAAAATATGGTAGTACAACTTTTAGTAGAGGTTAATTTGGTAATGGAGTTACAGATTAGCTATTCTAGCATATATTAAGCTCATTTTCATGTTTTAATTTAAAGACTAAAATCATTATAGGAACAGCATTAAATGGATCTTTCTCTAATATGGATGTTTATATTTGCAGGTAGTTTTGCAGAAATGCAAAGTCAAATCTCTCTTGCACAGTCCTGGAGACTACATCCTCTTAAGTGCAGACAAATATGAGATTAAGGTGACGTTTTTTTCTCCATTAATTTGCTTCATCAAAGAAAAACTGGAAACACAAGAAAATTAAAGTGGTATGGTAAAGGGTGAACATTCTAGGAAGAAGAATGGGAATGTCTTAGTCCAAGCCATTTTAAACCCACTGGAAAAAGGATTCACTAGCTCTATGTTCTATGCAGTTTCTTAACTTGGATTTGTAAATGAAAAAGAAGTTCACATAAATTTATGTTCAGCTCATTCTTAATATCTTTTTTTTTTTTTTTTTGAGATGGAGTCTTGCTCTGTCACCCAGGCTAGGGTGCAGTGGCGCAATCTTGACTCACTACAACCTCCGCCTCCCCGGTTCAAGCGATTCTCCTGCCTCAGCTGCCTGAGTAGCTGATACTACAAGTGTCCGCCACCACACCTGGCTAATTTTTGTATTTTAATAGAGACGGGGTTTCGCCATATTGGCCAGGCTGGTCTCGGAACTCCTGACCTCATGATCCGTCTGCCTTGGCCTTGCAAAGTGCTGGAATTACAGGCATGAACCACTGCACCTGGCCCAGTCTTAATACTTTCTTACATATCTCCTACCCTCCTTAATTCTTACATCTAAACTATGGAAACATAAATACTCATTTATTATAATGGTTTGCAAACTTTACAAAGCACTCTCACATTCTTATTGCATCTTTTTTTCTTTTTTTTTTTTTTTGAGATTGTTGCTCTTGTCACCCAGGCTGGAGTAATGGCATGATACCAGCTCACTGCAACCTCTCTCTCCTCGGTTCAAGAGAGTCCCCTGCCTCAGCCTTTCAAGTAGCTGGGATTATAGGCATGTGCTACCACGCCTGGCTGATTTTTGTATTTTTGGTAGAGATGGGGTTTCACCATATGGTCAAGCTGGTCTCGAACTCCTGACCTCAGGTGATCCACCTGCCTCAGCCTCCCAAAAGTGCTGGGATTACAGGCGTGAGCCACCGCACCTGACCCATTATTGCATGTTTTAAACTGTCCCATGTGATAGGTATTATCTTTATTGCAAGAACTGGGGTTAAGAGAAATTAGATAATTTACCCAAGGTTGCACAGGAGAATTAAGACTTGAACCTGTGATTCTTGGCTATAAAACCTGTGGTCTTCCCAATATACTTCGCTTTCTATCTGACTTCAGCATATGCAGACCATTTTAAGGACAAGCTTTTCTGTAGTAATGTGATCTCTCATCTTTCCTCATTTTCTTTTTTCTGTAGATTTGGCCAATTGGCAGAGAAATCAACTGCAAGTGCTTAAAGACATTGTCTGTCTCTGAGGATAGAAGTATTTGCCTGCAGCCAAGACTTCATTTTGATGGCAAATACATTGTCTGTAGTTCAGCACTCGGCCTCTACCAATGGGACTTTGCCAGTTACGATATTCTCAGGTAATGTTTCTTCGACCTCATTCTTTACCTTTGAAAGTCTGCTGCAGTTCAGTAGTAAAGACAAGACTAAATGTTTGAATGTACCAGCCTGTAGCTTGTTTTTAGCAAATGTTTACTACATCACTTGTAAACAGGGTTATATATACTGAACATCTCACACAGGAAAAATATTTTAGAGGAAGTAAGCAAATGAAAAAGAGTTACATACTGGAATGTCCCCTGCTTGGCTTGGATGAAAAGATCTTAAAGATCTCCGTCAGTTCTAATATTTTAAGTTCTACTTCATATTCAGTTGAAATTATGAATTGTTTTACAAACTTGATAAACTTCAGTGGTATCTAGGGATCAAATGACCTTATGTTGACTAGTAAAAAGAGATACTTAGAGAAAAATATAACTTGCAGGGTTTCTCTCCAAAGAAATAATAAGAAGCAGCAGTCCATAAAATTTTGGGATTCACTGTATACTATAGAATCCTCTTGGAGATTGACAGTATCTATTAGCATGTTTGAGGCTGATGGAAGCCAGTGTGCCATGTGGTAATTAAGAGAACTTTGGTGATAAACAAGCCTCGGTTTAAGATGTGGTGCCATCTCTTATGGGCTGTGTGATGTTGTGTAAGTTTTTAAACTAATCTATAGCTCAATGTCATCATCTATAAAGTGACTGTTAAATGCTGGAGTGCAGTGGCACAATCTGGCACCACCTGGCAGATCTTCATTAATAATAAGTCTGAGAGGCCCTGTATAAAGAAACCTGTTTGAATTTGTTTGACCCTGTTGTGCGTACACCTATTATTAATAACAACTCACAAAGCTAGCATTCCATAGCATGGTTCAGGAAATGCTGACTTGGAGGAGTACAGAAAATTGAACATTCTCTTCATTGTTTTAATGCATGACTATTTGAGGTCAGCTTGTGTGGGGCCTGATTACAGTAACCACAAACTTTGGTGGGCCTCATCTGTCTGGTCACAAAGTTACAACCCCATTTTTGTCTTCCTGGAGTCAGACCAACATTTCTAACCATTTAGGTTTCAGAGCTGTCAGAATTAGTAATACAAATGATTGATATTTATGCTTTGAGCAAAAAGACTGAAACCATTCCATTTCCCAAGCCTTTGCTCTTGTGGCTGGGGGAACTGAGCTGAGACAGGATAAGGGCCTTGCCCAGCATTCTACCTCTCACCCATCATATTCCAACATTTCTCCATCCATGCATGGCTGGATTATCCAATAGGCATATATACTTACGGTACTAGAAAGCTAGGGACACCGAAAACGGGAAAAGAAAGTTTTGAAAGAATGTGATATTTTGCAAAGCAAAATATTCAATTACTATGGGAAAATGACGTCTTTTATAGTTTAATATTGTTTTTATTTTGAATTAAAATTTTAGGAGGGAAGGTGCCAAGGCAAGGTGGGATGTCATAGTTATTTTAATGCTTAGTGTCTCTAAAGGTTTTAATTTGGTCCTACATCTGCTTTCTCGTGTATGCTTCTGACTCAGAGTAGCATATAGATATCCTAGAGTCCTAGATGAAAGTTCTGTTAGTTTTTAGTGTTTGAATAATAGCTAAGTAATAAACCTGTAAGATTGTTTGCTGGTGAGAATTGCCAGATTCAGATTTTTCTCTGAAAAGAGTCTGTCTTGTGTCTGCTCTTTTCATTCCAAACACAAATAAACCAACCTCTTTTGAAACCAACTACAAATCCTCTGGCCTCAATTGCTAGGACCAGGTAGGGCTACTTAGCTTTGAAGCTAATTGAAAAGAAGCAAAGCAGAGATAACAGCATGTTACTCAATAAGTCCGAGATATGATGTGGCTCGCTTGAGTTAGGTTATTTCTACAACATGTAAGGTTACTTAAGTTCAAGGACCCAGACTCTGCACAGCAGGGATGTCTGTTTACAGTTCTAAAGTGATCAAAATGAAAGCCACAAACCTGTCAAGACTTTGTGCTCTATTCTGCAACATATTTGTGTTTCAGTCTTTGGAGTCAGCTGATCTCCACAGATCTTAAGCCCTGTCCCTGTAGCCATCTTTTTTTGTGTTTCTGTTTATACCCTGCTTTACATTGATGATGTGGGACCTACCAGACTTTCTAGCTGTTTTTCCTAGCCTCCTTTATTTTAATTTAAATTAAATTTAATTTTTTTTGAGACAGAGTCTTACTCTGTCACCCAAGCTGGAGGGCAGTGGTGTGATATCAGTTCACTGTAACCTCCACCTCCTGGGTTCAAGCAATTCTCCTGCCTCAGCCTCCCGAGCAGCTGGAATTACAGGTACCTGCCACAATGCCCAGCTAATTTTTTGTATTTTTAGTAGAGATGAGGTTTCATCCTGCTGGCCAGGCTATTCTCAAACTCCTGACCTCAAGTGATCCGCCCGCCTTGGCCTCCCAAAATGCTGGGATTACTGGCATGAGCCACTGCGCTGGGCTTCCTAGCCTCCTTTAGATTTCCTTTGTAGGAATTTGCATTTGCCTCTGTTCATTTCACCACTACTTTATTCTTTAGACATTTATTGAGCACCTACCTTTGTGTCAGGCATTTTGGCATGTATTGGGAAGCAGCAGAAGTACTTACCAAAGTACTGATTAGCAGGAGCTTCTGTAATCCCAGTTACTTGGGAGGCTGAGGCAGGAGAATCATTTGAACCTGGGACCAGAGGTTGCAGTGAGCTGAGATCGCACCACTGCACTCTAGCTTGAGCGACAGAGTGAGACCCTGTCTCAAAACCAAAAAAAAAAGACTTTCATCAAATACCACCTTTCCCTTTTATGCCAATAATATATAATGACTGAAGCCCTCCACCCCAGCTTTTTTACAAGTGGGCTGACCTTTTTCTCCTTATGTTTTACTTTTTATCCAAAACATTTAACTAAAATTTGCTTGAATTTTATATTGGTTTTAAATGGGTCCAGGAAAGTTTACAGTAGCATAAACAGAAGCACAGTTGCCTTCTTTCACAGTCCCTAACTCTCATCCTTGTAGGGTCATCAAGACTCCTGAGATAGCAAACTTGGCCTTGCTTGGCTTTGGAGATATCTTTGCCCTGCTGTTTGACAACCACTACTTGTACATCATGGACTTGCGGACAGAGAGCCTGATTAGTCGCTGGCCTCTGCCAGAGTACAGGAAATCAAAGAGAGGCTCAAGCTTCCTGGCAGGCGAAGCATCCTGGCTGAATGGACTGGATGGGCACAATGACACGGGCTTGGTCTTTGCCACCAGCATGCCTGACCACAGTATTCACTTGGTGTTGTGGAAGGAGCACGGCTGACACCATGAGCCACCACCGCTGACTGACTTTGGGTGCCAGGGCTGCGGGTTTTGGGTGCAACCTCTGGGGCAGCCGACTGCATGAACCAAAGTTCTCACCTAATGGTATCATCACGCAGTGCACAATCATTTATCTATGTTTGCCAGGGGCCAGGGCTCGGGGTGGGGGAGGGCTTGTTTTATTGACATACAATGCAGCATGCTAATGGGGTACACCATTGACTTCATTTGTACTTAGTTATGTTGGTCAGTGTAAGAGGATGCATTTTGAGTTCATCTTTTTTGAGTGGAATATTGGTTTTAAGTAAAGAAAGCTAAATGATTCATTAATCTGCTAATTGGTTGCCTGTGAAATCACATTGTCTGTTATTAAAGCTTTTTGCCTTTTTTTTCTTTTGAAGTTGAAGCAAAGGTGCTATGATGTTGTTACAGCAACTTTTTTCACATGGGGCTTAGCTTTTATAAGAGCCAGTGTTAAAACTTCCACCAAATACCAGTTCATAAACTTCCACCAAATACCAGTTCTAAAGTCTGTCTTCCAGTGCAAATCCAATTCTATAAATTGATTGTCAGCAACTCATTCTAAACCTTAGATCTTGGCAGAGTCAAGGTTGGCCGTGTTTAAGATGTGAGAGAGTTCTGTAGTTTTTGTTTCCATGTCAGGGAAGCTAGTCCAACAGCCTGGATAACTGCACAATGATGCCCTGGTATAGCAGAAAGAGCACTGAGCTGGAAGATTTAGAGACCCACCCTGTTACCCAGGAACTCTGTAACCTCTCTGGGTCCCAGCTTTCTTGTTTGTACAGCCAGATATTAAGCTCAGTGATTTGTAAGATTCTTTCTGGTCTTCCATCTACTGAAATGTGCAAAGGTTGATAATGCGTTTTTGTCTGATCTCTGATTCATGGTTTCATTCAGGTTGGAGATAATATTTAAATGAAATTACTGATACCAAGTTTTCTATAAGAACATCAATGATATGAAAATGATGAGGAAGAGGGAAATGTACCTGATTCCACTTAGACAGTTAAGTAATTGGTTGAAAAAATGCTGATAGAAGTCATGGTTTAAGGAGAAACACAGTGTGCTATATTAGAAGGATTCCTGAACCCAACTTAACTTCCTCCTTTACCTCTAACTTAATCTGCGGCCTTAGGCCGGTTAACTTTCTCTTCTAAGATCATCATTTTCTTCCTCTTTTAAATGAGGGAATTGTCCTAGATTAGGGTTCACAAATTCAGTTGTCTAAGGGAGCCACACAGGTAACATAAATGAGTAAAATGTTCTGGGAAGGATTGTGCTGTCCTCTGGAAAGTTTATCTAATAGGGCAGTTATTCAACTCTGTTTTATCGTTAAGAGAAACAAGCCAGGTATTGGCCGGTCTTCAGATTGTTTCAGGAGGAGCTAGAAAGCCAGATTTTTATTTGAAATCCTGGATATTTAAAATATAACAACTGATTAAAGATAATTTAAAATAAGGTGGGCCAAATAAAACGTGTCCCTGGGCTGCCAGTGTGTGTCCTCCTCCCTCTCTACAGTTAGGTAATTTTGTGGTTCAGCAGTGGAAATGTTTGTTAGTGGTCACAATCAGGGAGAGAGTAGGGGAAGCAAGCAGTAGAAAAATCTCAGCCATTCTTTAGCTCTCCGCTTGTATTTCAGGGGTGCTGGGGAGGGACGTATTTCATTCACAGACCAACAGGAAGGTAGTTAGAAGATGAACATGCGAATTGGAACCTCAGTGAAAGCTTATGTCTGGGAACATGAGTTATTCCTTCTTGCTGACTCTAGTTTAAAGCATATCCATTTTACAGGTGGGAAAAAGGGTTGCCAGCAGAGCTGAGAATGATGTAAGCTCTAGAGTGGGGACCTATCTCTTCCAGAATCTGCGTTAGCATAAAGCCAGACTGTGGACCTCTGGGTGCTGTGAAGTTAATAGAAATTAATGACGAATTTCAAGGAAAGGTATCATTAATATCCATGTTGACACTTTGTGGGGTTTAAGCAAAAGAAGAATATCTTTCTCTATCCCACGAAATCTGAGTTTAATCCATCTCGCATTGAGTTCTGTACATGAGCTCTGCTTAGTCCTTCTAGAAATAGAACTGGAATCACAACTGAATCTATTTTCAGAAGCCCCAGGACACTATGGGCAATAATGAGGGTAAATGACTTTTTACTTTGTAATCAAGCCTGAACAGGTAACTGAGATTACTGATACAATGCCTGTCTCCACCCCACCTCACTTTTTAAGATCTTACTTGCGGGAAAAGTTTTATAAAACTGACTAACTTGAAGCTTGTCTGATATGTTCTATTTCAGTTTTTAGTGGTGAATACAGAAGTCATCAAGGTGGTACTTGATGTCTCTGGAATTTTTTTTTCCCCCAGGCAGTCTTGGTCTGTCATCCAGGCTGGAATGCAGTGGCATGATCATGCAGCTGGATTTTGACAGCAGTTCTTCAGGCAGTAATTGGAGTCCTAATGTCAAGTCTTCCCCACAGAGGCCTTTATTTGGCCTGAGATTTTATTTAACTGCTGTATACATGCTGGATTTATTCACACTATTGCCAGTTTTTATAAAAATGGTAAACTAACTCATCCTTTTTGCAAAAGAAAGCAAAATGGGAGGTCAGAGTAAGAAGTGGGTAGGGAATAACTAAAGCTATTCCTTACTCTCCTTTCATTGTGTTTGAGAGCTCTCTCATGCACACAGTGACCTTTGGCTTCCTTAGTGCATAAGTGAGGGATTGCCTTTCCCTCTTTTGTGAATATTCTCATTTCAGAAAAATTCTAAGTCATGAGAATGTAAGCCCCTTGGATTCTTACAAGGATCGGATTTCTTGGGTGACACTGTGGTGTGGAAGCACAGGGCTTCTCTCAGGCTCATAAAGGCTACCATAACTTCAGGCCTCATGATGTGGACAGGGATCCAGGAGAGCTGAGTGGATGTGTGAAGTTTCTAGTAGATTTTGTCATCATTCCAAAGGAATGGTTTCCTCCTGCTCCATTATTTGAAGTAATCCACATTGCCAAATCTGACTCTAACCTGACATTTTAGACCTATTGGAGAAATAGGAAGAAAACCCTTCCAAGGACTGGACTTGGAAGAAGTTCTGCAGGAAGTGCATGCAGTTGGATAGCTGCTCATGAGTGAAACGTGGGGAACATTGCTATTAACTTGTAAGGTTTGCAATTTTTCATAGTTTAAAAATCACTCTGTTCTGGCTGCTGAAAGCACTTGGTGAAGTTTGAGGATTATATAATCATTCTAGTATTTGTTCATAGGAAAGTGATTACTGCCCTCCATTTGTAAAACAAAGGAAATACTTTTGGAAACTATTTATTTTAGACATGAAGAAATTGTTTCTATTAGGTTAGGCATTTTGATCTAACAGAATCAGCATAGGATAGTGGATCCTGGCTTTACACATTTCTTTGACCAAACACAGCTGGCAACTTGAGGTCGTTACTATGTGGCTTCCAGGTTGCCTGGAGGTCAATCCTGCCAACATTGCTTTTCTTTTTTTGAGACGAGTCTTACTCTGTCGCCAGCCTGTAGTGCAGTGGCACAATCTCGGCTCACTGCAAACTCCGCCTCCAGAGTTCAAGCGATTCTCCTGCCTCAGGCTCCCAAGTAGTTGGGACTACAGGTGTGCGTCACCATGCCCAGCTAATTTTTGTATTTTTAGTAGAGACGGAGGTTCACCATGTTGGCCAGGATGGTCTTGATCTCTTGACCTCGTGATCTGCCTGCCTCGGCCTCCCAAAGTGCTGGGATTACAGGCGTGAGAAACCGCGCCTGGCCCCAACATCACTTTTATAGCTTCCTGTGCCTCCTCTTCTGTCTGGGCCTTCATGTCTGAAGCCACTTGCCTTTCTCTGTAGGGAAGCACGCAGAATCAGATTGCTACTCATGATGATGCAGTCTTGGCAGGGCATACTGTCACCACTGCCTTTGGACACAGTTGTCAGGTTAGGGGAGAAGCCCTGTAGGTCTGTCTCCTTGACACAGCCTTCCTACCTGGTTATGCTGGTGCTTTTGCTTGGTTTAAGACAACTAAGGCACTCTTGAGAATTATGCAGTCTTCAGAGTGTCTGATGAAAAGAACACATTCGCTTTTTTTGGCAAAATGCCCATTAGCCATCTTTGGCAGTGTCTCTTATCAAAGGTTCCCCCTGTGCCTCCTCTAGGAAAGTGAAAGTTTTTCAGAATAAATCCTCAAATGGATTCCTGAGTAGTCTTTGCACCATTCCCATCAGCCTGATCACACTGGTCATGCTCAGTGCAGAAAGCTGTTTAGCTGTGAGGATGTGTCAGTGTTTCCAGTCTTTCCTAGAACAGTTCAGTTGTTTAAATTTAGTAATTCAATCCTGACCAGTGTAGACCCACTTAATGTAGCCTAAAGAATTCAGCTGCTTTTGCTCTTCATAAATATGCCCAAGTAAATATGTGTTTTTAATATTCAGCCCTGGAAAATTACTAATTCAGATGATAAAAGCTCATCATGTTTTGGTGTCTTTGTACTCAGATTGTGAACAGGCATATTTTACTGATTTAGACTTAGTATACTTGATGAGAATGCTCAGGTTGAAAAGATAGTTCTGTCACCAATCCAACATCTGTAGCAATGTGGGAAAAGTAATCAACTCATGTTTCACTAATTTGATGTATGTTGTGATTTAGAGGAAGTGAGATAAAGTTTATATTTGAACTGTGTGGGGTAGGGGGAAGAAGAGATTGCTTAAGCAAATAGTGGAGTGATTGTGGAACAAGATGTCTCTAAGATGTGAAGTTATTTTCTTGCATCATAGAAGCACTCTTTTTACCAGTGAGTGATTGTGCTAACTATAAATCATTTACATCTGTACATTAAAGCAGATTCCCTCAATTAGGCGAATTTGGTTAGCCAAGCCCAAGTTGTTGTTTGTACTTGAAAGTAATAAAGCTGCATTTCCTTAAAAATATATTCTGTAGTTAAGACTTTGTTTTGCTTTTCCCCCCGACCACTTCAGACATTTTACCCAACCAATTCAGGAACTTTTCAAAAGTCAGTGTGTTTTAGAAATGGAACAACCCTTGAGTGATCTAAGTGGCTCTGTTCTTTTACTGTTTCTGCATCTTCTAGAAAGTAAACTCAATATAACCATTTCTGAAGGTGATCCAAGAAGCAAATCAATAAACTTAAAATGCAAGGAAATAATTTTGTTGAATTTCATGAATAGTTGCAAATGAGGGAGTGAGGTGGGTAAAAGTCCCATTTTGCAGATTCCAGACCTTGGAATTGTCTTCCTCTCTTTTGCCCAAAGATGTGTCTATTCAACACATCATTGCATGAGTTCCTTCTTCCTAACTTAAACTTACAGTGCTTCTTGTCATTTGTTTACCATGGCCCTGCACCTTTGATC